ATGTGTGTTGATTTTATATCCTGCCACTTTGCTGAATTCATTTATTAGTTCTAGTAGTTTCTTTGTAGACCCTTTTGGGTCTTCTAGGTATAGAATCATGTCCTCTGCAAATAGTGATAATTTAAGTTCTTCTTTTCCTATTTTTATGCCTTTAATTTCTTTCGTCTGTCTAATTGCTCTGGCATTTCTTTCATCTGTCTAATTGCTCTGGCCCTATTTCTATTAACTTAAATTCATTGGGCTGGGGATGTGGCTCAAGTGGTAGCGCACTCACCTGGCATGCCCAGGGCACTGGGTTCGATCCTTAACACCACATAAAGATATTGTGTCTACCTAAAACTAAAAAAATAAATATTTAAAAAATTTTTCATACATTTCATCTAAATCTGAGATAGATAAGCTTGTATAACTAATAACCACAGGAGTGAAATTATGCATACTCTAAAATGTTATTATTAAGGAATTCAAATCACATATTTTGTCTGCCCTTGTTTAGACCCATCTAGTGTCTATGGCGAAAAAACTTAAATACTTTGTAAAAACAAACAAAAAAAGATGTAGCACACTTAATGCCTACTGTATCCTCACCTCCACTTCAACAGGTGGATATCGCTGGAGAAAAATCCACAAGCAGGCTAATAAATCTTACTTTGAATTCAAAACCATGAATCTCAAATGGGCCTCAAGTTAGCATGGTCACCTCAGTCACTTCTCTGGATTCCTTTTGTGTTGTTGTCCCCTCTCTCCAAAAGATTATGACAATTTTGTTTCTCCTTTTCTCTGTTGAGAGCCCCAACATGCACGCCTGGTGCCTTGTCATCCCCCTCACCTCTACATCCTCTATTCTCAGAAGATAAACTAGCCTCATATTCGATGGAGAGAAGAGACCACTTCAAAGAAGCACTACGAAGTTCTCCCCCTGTCACAAAGCAGCAGTCACACCTTCCCCTCATTGACTCTTCCTTCCCTCCCACTATTTCTGGGATTAAGAGCCTTTGCTCCTGGCAAAGGCAGCATCTCCATGTGCAGCCTCTGTCCCATGCCTCACAACTCCCAGCTAGGCTGAGTTTCTCCCTCTCTGCTCCATCACAGACTGTTTCTTCTCAGCCTATCCTCCCATCCTACAAAGAACATTCCACTGACCCTACACCACCCTCCAAGTACAACCTCAGCCTCTGCTCTCTCTATGGTAGGACTTCTAGGGGAGAAGCGCATCCCCACCTCCCATCTCTCTTCAGCTCTTTCCAGTCTGGCTTCTGTCTCACTCAGCCACGTCTGCTGCCCTAGGACTTCCCCCATGACTCCTGGGTGCAATTCCAATGATCATCTGCTCGCTGCTCTTTCTACTTGATCTTCATCAACATTTAGCTGAGTGAACCATTTCATCTCACTAGAAGCTTTTTCTCTCTCACCTTCCTACTTACATCTACCTCACAGACTGTTTCTTCTCAGCCCATCTTGCCTACTCTTTCTCTGCAAGTCCATTTCTTTCTTTTTTAAAAAAATATTTTTAGGGCTGTGGTTATGGCTCAGCGGTAGAGTGCTGGCCTAGCATGTGTGAGGCCCTGGTTTTGATCCTCAGCACCACATAAAAATAAATAAGATGAAGGTATTGTGTTCAACTGAAACTAAAAAATAAACATTAAAAATATTTTTAGCTGTAGATGGACACAATATCTTTTTTCTCTTCCTCTTTTTTATTTTATTATTTTTTTAAATACACGACAACAGTGGGATGCATTACAATCCTTATTACACATATAGAGCACAATTTTTCGTATCTCTATATATAAAGTATATTCACGTCAACTTATGCCATTATATGTGTACTTTTTTTGCATTACAATTCTTGATACACATATAGACTACAATTTTTACAATATCTTTATTTTATTCCTATGTGGTGCTGAGAATAAAACCAGTGCCTCACATGTGCTAGGCAAGCACTCTACCACTGAGCTATGACCCCAGCCCCTCTGCTATTCCATTACTAAATGTATGAATATCCCCAGGCTCAAGCCTATAACCCTTTGGTATGTAACAGATTTTACTTATTCATATACAGTAGTCCCCCCTTAACCATAATTTCACTCTCCATTGTTTCACTT